TTAGATTTCTCTTCAAACACTTCATGATCAATTCATTCACTGCTGGGTGCAATTCCCTGAAAAGAAAGGCTTCTTTTGGACTGCAGTTTATGCCAATCCTAAATAGGAGAATCGTAGGGTGTTATGGGAAGAGTTGAAGCAAATTGGAAAACCATGAATGATTCCTGGCTACTCTCTGGTGACTTTAATAAAATTGTTTCAGCTTCACAAAAAAGAGGTGGGGGGCCAATTGATCATAACAGATGTCTTCGATTCAACACTGTGTTGGACTCTTGTGGAGTGATGGATCTTGGGGGTGGGGGAAATAGGTTCACTTGGAAGGGACCTAAATTTCTCAATTTTGATAGAGTATACAAAAGGTTAGATATAGCAGTATCTAATGAGATTTGGAGAGCTAATTTTGAGGAAGCTGATATTTTGGTGTTGCCTAGACTTTTCTCAAATCACAGTCCTATTCTGATTAGATTGGAGAATGAGGAACCCAAATGGAGATATAGGCCTTTTCGTTTTTTGGCTGCTTGGCTAAAGGACCACAGGTTTAGTTCCTTCTTTAGGGAAAATTGGAACCATTCTTCTTGTCTTTTGGAGAGTGTGAATTCTTTAATTCCTTTACTTAAGGAGTGGAATAGGAAGGTGTTTGGCTTTACTTATCACAGGAAGAACAGAGTGATTGCTCGTATGGAGGGTATCCAAAGACAACTATCTTCTAACAACAGTGTTCATCTTGAAGAGCTGGAGGCCAACTTAAGAAGAGAGCTCTCTGAAATTCTGGACCAGGAGGAGTCAATTTGGTACCAGAAATCTATGGGAGATTGGATTAGAGATGGTGATAGAAACACCAGGTTTTATCACACCAGCACTCTTATTCGTAGAAAAAAGAATAAAATCTTCAAGCTTCAAGACGATAAAGGCTGTTGGGTGACTGGAGATGATGGGCTAATCTCACTAGCAAGAAGTTTCTTCGTGAATTTGTTCTCGAAAAATTGCAATGAACCTAGCTGGAATATATCAAAAAATAGCTGGCCTATTTCGAATGATGATCAACTTGCCAAGCTATCTGTAAATATCACTCTTGAGGAAGTCCAGCTTGCTTTTTTTCAGATGCCCCCCTTAAAGCCCCTGGACCTGATGGACTTCCAGCAATGTTCTATCAAAAAAATTGGGATTTGTTAAAAAAAACCAGATTTTCAATAGTATGCAGCACTATCTCCGTCATCCGGATCAAATTAGAGATATAAATCACACCCTTATAGCTCTAATTCCTAAAGTTGATAGGCCATCCTTGATGATGCAGTTTAGGCCAATTGCCTTGTGTAATTCGGTTTACAAGGGGCTCAGCAAGATTCTGGTCAATAAAATTAAGCCTTTCTTGGGGAATATTATTTCTCCAAACCAGACCAGTTTTGTCCCAAAGAGACACATTCAGGACAACATTATTATTGCCCAGGAACTTATACACTCGATGCACAGGATGCAAGGAAAGAAAAGCTTTTTCTCTATCAAAATTGATTTAGAAAAAGCCTATGATAAACTCAATTGGAGTTTTATCAGAGCTGTGTTAGAAGACTTGAAGTTCCTATAAGCTATGGTAGGACCTATCATGGGGTGTGTTACTAGCCCGTATATGGAAGTCCTATGGAATGGAGCTAGAACTGATGGCTTTCAACCGCAGAGGGGAATAAGACAAGGGGACCCTTTATCCCCTTATCTTTTTGTTCTATGCATGGAGAAGCTCACTCACTTGATCTTGGATGAAGTGGAAAAAAAAAAGTGGAGTCCAATTAAGGCTGGCAAATCTGGTCCAGGTATATCTCATCTTCTGTTTACAGATGATATCATTATTTTTGCTGAAGCCTCTCTGAGTCAAATGCATAGCATTTTAGACTGTTTTAACAGTGTGTGAGTATAGAGAATCCTGCATTTTTTTCTCTAAGAATACTCCCCATGAGGCTGTGCTTGAGATCTCCAATGCTTGTGGCTTCAAAAAAGTGAACATCATTGGTCGTTACTTAGGAGTTCTGATGAAGTATGGAAGAACAAGGACAGATCACTATGCTGATGTGATTAATAGAGTTCAAAACAGACTCCAAGGATGGAAGAGCAAGTGTTTAGCTTTGGCTGGCAGAATAACTTTAGCTAAAAGTGTAATTTCTGCAATCCCTATTTATCAAATGCAGAATAACACTTTTCCTGTTCATGTATGCCAGGACATTCTCGATTCTACGAGAATTTTTATGAAAGCCTTTCATTTGCTTCTCTTCGATGGAAGTTGGCGTAACAATCTGGGCCCTGTCTCGGAGAGAGGCTCGGTGAAATAGACATGTCTGTGAAGATGCGGACTACCTCCACCAATTTTATTTGGGGTGATACAGATTCTAAGAGGAAAGCTCATTATGTTGCTTGGGAGCAACTTTGCAGTCCTAAAGAGTGTGGAGGCCTTGGAATCATCAACATGAGGATCCAGAACGAAGCCTTTATGAAAAAATTGGCTTGGAAGTTGATAAGTGAGCAAGACAGCTTGTGGGCTCAGGTACTGCTTGGCAAATACAGGAGGAAGCAGAACCCCAAGCACAATCTGATTGCTAAAGTGAGTGATTCCCCTCTTTGGAAGAACATCTGCTCAGCCAGAGAGAAGATGGAAAATCAACTTGAGTGGATGATTGGCAATGACATGGAGGCTCTCTTCTGGACAGATGATTGGGGATTAGGCCAAGTTAATCTCTGGGAGCTGGCCTCTCCTAAACCCCCTGATACTGATTTGGAACTCACAGTTTTCGAGCTGGTTGATGTAATTACAGGGGAGTGGAACCTGACTAACTTGGGGAAATTTCTGGATGACTCTATTTTAAGCAAATTGTGCAGTTTAACTCCCCCCAGTATTGATGATGCTGATGACAGGCCGAACTGGAAAATAAAAACTCCAAGTAAATCCCTTGTTAAAAGTGCATACTGCCAAATAATGAATTTTAACATAGGAAATGATAAAATCTGGTCTGCTATTTGAAAGTGGAGAGGACCCTATAGGATTGCTGTTTTTATGTGGCTGGCTTGTTTGGATAGACTACCTGTTAGAAGTATTACATGTCACTGGGGTGGAGGGGAAAGCCTTTGTCCTGTTAGCTTCACTAGTCAAGAGACAACTGTCCATATTCTCAGAGACTGTCAAGCTGCAAGAAGCTTATGGGAAGCTTGGTTTGGTGGAATTATCCCTATTTCTTTTTTGGCCTTAGATGGACAAAGTGGTTTCGGCTAAATATTTTCAAAACTTTTTCAACCAATCTCTGGAGCTCTTGGAAAGAAGTCTTTTTTGTGTCTTGCTGTTTTTATGGCATTGGAGAAATGCTTCTGTTCATGAGGTTAATTTCTCATGGCCTGTTGATCCAGTTAACATAATTTTTAACTATCTGATTGACATAAAGAATTATGCTTCATCTGAGGCATCTTTGCCAAGGCCTTTGCACCTCTATGCCGTGAAGCTCCTGTTGTTAGTGTGATGCAGAATTATGTGGATGGAGCTGTTAGTTTAAACTCTAACATAGGAGCTTGTGGTGGCTTCTTAGTTGCAGACAATGGAGAATGACTGGGAGGTTTCTCCTTGGATTTAGGGCCTTGCTCTCCTATAGAAGCTGAATTGTGGGCCATGTTGCAAGGTCTTAAGCTGGCAGCTGACAGAAAGTATTCAAGAGTTTGGTTAGGTAGTGACAGCCAAGTAGCTCTTTTCTGTGTTGATGATCAATCAGATGCAGCTGGTTTTGTTTCCTTAAGCAATAGAATAAGGAATGCAGCAAGCAGCTTCGAGGAAGTTCTTTGGAAGTTTATTCCAAGGGATTTTAATGATTGTGCTGATAATTTAGCCAAGTTAGGTTTTAGTCTTAAGGGTAAAGAGATAGTGTATTATCCATCTCCCCCTATTAGTATTCTCCCTGCTGAGAATTCGTTTTGTACAAACATACTATTTGAGGATGTTCTTTTGAACATGCAGCAGCTTTTAATATAGTTTCTCTGGGCTAGGCCCTCCATTTTTATCCACAAAAAAAAAAAAGACCCAATCTTTCTTTCCCCATCACTATGCCCTGCCCATAATCATTAATTTGTCATCTTCTATCTTTTCCCATAAAAAAATAAAAAAAATATGGATGGGTACTTATTTAAAGTAAGTATTCAATTGAATCATGAAAAGCTATGTGCCTTCATTCAAATGAACCATTTTACCTCATTTGCGTAATGTGCCATGCACTAAACCACCTTTTTCTTGCTTTTGCACGTAACGCAGGATTTAGTTGGATCTCACTTAAAAAAGAGGAAAGCAAAAAAGCAAGAAAATACTTCACTAATTATGTAGATTGGGAATAGGAGTGAACCAATAAATCTTGGCAAGCAGCATAAACAACATTATTTGGTACGTAGTGCTTGTCCTTTAATTATCCAAATCTTCCTACTTTGTCCTAGACCCTTTTTTAAGGAATTGGTTTAACTCTTGTTCAATAAATCTATCGTGTAGACGTGAGTTCTATGTAAGACGGTTCCCTTAATTATAGTGAAGAACAAAAACGAAGGGTACAAGGTAGAAGCATGACATTTAATATTTCATACTGTACAGGCTATCAAAGTCTCAAAGATTCGGAAAAATCCCTTATCAGAGGCCTAGAGTGAAGTTTCCCACTGGAATTTGCTCGAAGAAATTTAGGTTTGAATCTGAAGGTCTTTGATGGTCGAAAAATTTGCTCAACTAGTTCAGATTCAATCTTATTTTCCCGTAATTTCTAGATTTAAACCAGTCCCCGGCCCGGTAAGAAGCACTGTAATTACTTATAGAGTTATATTCTCTAAAAAAATTCAATTTCTAGATTATTCAATAAAAAAGGGTAATGGACTCTCAGCAACATTAAACAAATTTTATCATTTAAATAGGCATATAAAACAAATTTTTAGTCAAAAAATAAGTCAATTGATCTGAGATATCAGCAATTTTAAGTTCACAAAGATTGGAATCAGGTTTTGTGGGGTGCGCCAGGCCAATGCTATAGTGCAACGCATGGGCGACGCTTGAGAGGCCCAGCAGCAAGCTACTGTAACGGACTCTCCCCCTCAAAAAATAAATTTAATATCATGTGGACCAATGGTCCACGTATCAGATATTAAACTGATAAGAACAGATACTACACTTGATCTTAGCCAAAAGGCCGAGAAAGGTATGCTTTGAAGAGTGGCTCGCAGTGGATTTTATAGCCAATTACATGCTCTCCTACCTTCTAGACTGGCCGAGCTGGGACACTTACGCATCCAAAACGTTAAAAGAAAAGAACATACAGCTATGTAGCCAATGCTATATAATGTTTGCATAATAGAGCTTATGAACTTCCAATCAACAATAGCAAATAAAGATTGAAAAACATCCATGTCTCAAAAAGTGGAAAGCATAGACGTCGAGAATGCACCGCAAAAGTGTTCTGTTGGACAGTGTTACAAGGCCTGAAAAAAAACCAGACAGCATTGTTTGCAATCTCCTTAGCTTCATATTCTGCAAAGGCACAACCTTTTGATTCCTTCTATCTAGGAATGTGCAAGTCTAACACTCGTCCTGGTTGAATTAATATATCATACAACACCATGTCTGTACCCCTCTTATGCAGATTGCCTGAGTCATAGAAGTAACCAAATCAGCACCCAAATGTAGATGCCCTTTTTATATATACTGAGTACTGCGAGATAAATCAAAAGATTTTACTTAAAAAGTGGCATTTGTCCAACTAATACGTGCTTCAATCAACCATAACTGCTGAGACTGAAATTCTAAAAATATGTGAAGATAAATGCATGCTTGAATAGAAAAAGTACAAAAGCATGGCTTTAGGATGTCGACTCCTTCAAAGAAAGCATATTTATCAAAGAATCATTTCCGTGAACAATCTCTTTCACTCAAGCAAACATAGCGAAAGGGGGATCTGATACATTGGACACTTTCAGAATATTTATATAAATGTGAACGAAATCATCCCTAATTGAATGAAAGACACCCTTAACAAAGTTAAAAATTAAATAGGGCATTTGACCAAGCAAAACTTCTATTCTCCATTAATACATGCAGCGAACACACAGCACAAAGATGGAAGAAGAGCTTGAGTGAAAATCAAAATACATTTGCTTAATTATTTCACTTTTCATTTTTATTAATCAAGAGGCATGAGATATGACTTTGCATAAGCAGCAAAGCATTTCTGAAGCAGTTGGATGTGATAAAATTGCACAAGAAATTCCAAGCCTGATCTCAGACAATTAGGAGAAAATCCATGACGAGGAATTCTTTAATAAAATAAGATTTCCCAAACTTCATAATCATACAGAATCGGGGCCAATAAATCAGTGCAATGGAACAAATGTCTCCTCATCTAATTTGACATACTTTTATTCCAGCCTCGATAGACATTTTTCAATTTATTCAAAAATAAGCAAGAGTAATTCGTAAACAAACTAAAGAGAGAAGCCACACTCGTTGAAATATACCACCCAGTATCACATAAGGTAGGCAAGGAAACCAGATTGAACAGAGAAACCCGAGAAGAAAATCCAGAGAGATGCGGAAAAAAAAAATTTGGACCATTTCTCGATTTGTGCGTGTCATCCTTGCGCAGGGGCCATGCTAATCTTCTCTGTATCGTTCCAATTTTATCGGATGTCCCCGAAGGGACAAGCAAAGACATTACCTTCGCGTATATAAACACTATCGAGTTTTATAAAATAATCGATGTGGCACTCCAACAACAGCAAACAACACACACTGCAATTAATAAAAATGAAGCATGACATAATCCTGCTCGGCCTTCACCGGAGGCATTCAAGATGCGTCTCAGTTAGTTGGAGAAAAGACCAATTACCTTCACTACTTCCTTCATCAAAGCAAACTCTCTGATAGACACTGATATTATAATGTATTTTATTATTATTATCTTTTGGCTAATTTGTTTTTAAATTATGTTTTGGCACAAAAGAATGAGTGGTGTAAATAGAACTAGCAACCTTTATTACTATCCGTAGCCTTCTAGACCTTTTGATTACTTTCCTCTCTAGCCTTGCTTTGACTTGACATCTCAGTTGTACTTTTATTCACTTATTACTATTTATATTATTTTATTACAATTATCTCGGTTTTTTAAGTTTTTATTTCTAAGTTTCTATAACATAAAGAAAATACGTGTGAAACAGAAAAAGTTTTTTAATAAATTTTGTCAAGACATTTGAGATCCCAGAGACGATCAAACGAGATCTTAACTTGGATCATGAACGAAAGAACAGTGAAGATGATCCCAGCATTCAATGAAGCACTCTGAATGATGATCATACAACCAATGAAAATGACTGCAGAAATGTTGGCAGGAGCCATCTAATAAACAAATGTCCCATCGACTTTCTAGAATATTGTGTTATTTGTTGAAGGTTATCAGTTCAAAAAAAAAATTAGAAACAGGGTTGGTTTTGAAATATTACATCAAAAAGATATCAAATTTGTAATATTCAATGATATTACTTTCGATTTAAAAAATTCTATAGTAAATGCAAGATATTATTATGCTCCAGTTTATATCAACCCAAATAATTATATTTTTATTTCTTAAGTTTATATGTGAACATTTATTAATACATCCAACATCATTGACATGACCTTTTTACTACGGAGGGAATTAACCAAGCTCTTGAAATTATCTTGCGGGGACTGTAATTTTATGATTTTTATAGTATCTAGGATCTCTCTAAAGTGAACATTTGTTCATTGCTATGGATTGCATTAAATTTTCAATGTATTGTTCACTCACATGATATGTATTTTATTTTAATTAAATTATTAACAAATAATTTATTTTTAAATTAAGTGAAAAGATAATTTGACAAAAAAAAAAGATATGCGTCATATTATGAATAAAAAATGTAGCAAAAAAACTCAATTCATCCTTATCTTCCGAAGATATTCTTCTCTGAAGTTGTTGTCTTGTTGATCCTAGATGTTCATTTCGTGCAATTAATTACTATCTTTCTTGAGAATTAAAAAACTAGGGCGTTTGGGGCAAAGACTCAAATCTCAATAACCATGTTGAGAATCAAATTGAAAGGGGAGAAGGTTTTACAAAATTTCTTTAATTGTTGTATTTTCATAGCATTCTTTATTTGTTCATAGAAATGAAGGTAAAGTTATTATTTAGAAAGACAACTTGAAGGTGGTATTTTACATTTAGCTAGCTAAATTTAGAAAGACAACTTCCAAATATAATAAGGGTTGTTTTGTAATTTTGTCATACTTTTCCATCAAAATTTTATCTCAATCAAACATGGACTCAATATATTTAACTCAATTTTTTCGGTTAAATTTCGCCCCAACCAAACAATTTTTTTTTTTTAACTTTTCTACCTACCTCATTTCTCCACCATATTCCTACTAAATCTATTTTCTTAGTAAAAAAAAATTTCTCTCAAACCAAATGCCATCTGAAAGGATATGCTAAACTCAGTTGATCTTGTACGAACTCTATCAGCCAAATATAATTTAATTTATTAATCACACCAGTGAAAATAATTATTGTTGAATATAATCGATGATGGAGAAGCTCACAGTTAGAGCTGTCAAAATGGGTCAACCCAGCCCATTTAGCCCTACCCCGCGTGGGTTAGGGCCAAAAAGCCCACAATGGTATAGGCCCGCATGGGCCAAAAGCCCTAAGGGTTAGGGCTAGCCCATGGGCCTTCCAAAAATTTAATATATATTTTTTTGTTTAAAAAAAATTCATATTTGATATAGCAATGTATCTCAAAAGTCCTTACCTGCATTAAAAATAGATTAAGGAGCAACATTTTCTCATAAAATAATGAATAAAAATAAAATGATGAGACAAACCAGATATAGTCCTTAAGCATATTGCTACACGCTTTGGTTACTGCATGTTTCTATACGTTTTCTTAATGAAAAGTGGTCTTCCACAAATTGCAATCTGGCCTGCGCCTGGTTCATTCTCTAGTTGCACAAAACTTTTACAGCACTAAAAATAAATTGGAAGGGAAATATGTAACCACACATTGAATTGTTACACTTGTTGGAATTGTTTAAATTTATACTCGAAAGGCTTCTCGCATGCTCTTCACATGGGACAGTTGTTCACTGTTTCATCAACACTGCAAGATGTAGCATATGAATAGACTCAGACAAGCTAAATTTTTTTTCACAAAGGCAAATGGAACTCTCATAAATCATAATGGATCAGGATTTATACATTCATTGTCAAATATACAGCAGCAGCAGTGGCCTCAACTTCGCAGGATCAATTCTGCACAAAATCAATGTAAATACTAAATATCATCACAATTAAATCAATTAAGCTCAACCTACACAGAATAAATGGATCTAAACTATAAATTTCAACTAGCTACTAACAGAAATACCTCTCTAATCTTCAATTTGAACTTCTTGATGCACATTGGCTTATGATGTTGTTGTTTCATGATCACTAGTATTAGAATCATCTTCATCTAAAACTCATAACCAATTGAAACAAAACTACTAAATTAGACAATCAATCCCTACATAACCAAGCAATATTAAAATATTATAATGGAAATATTAATAATATTTGGCTATGTAGGGATGTATTAAAAATAAAATAAAATATTAATAATATTATAATGGAAATATTATAATATTTTAATATTGCTTGGTTATGTAGCGATTGATTGTCTAATTTAGTAGTTTTGTTTCAATTGGTTATGAGTTTTAGATGAAGATGATTCTAATACTAGTGATCATGAAACAACAACATCATAAGCCAATGTGCATCAAGAAGTTCAAATTGAAGATTAGAGAGGTATTTCTGTTAGTAGCTAGTTGAAATTTATAGTTTAGATCCATTTATTCTGTGTAGGTTGAGCTTAATTGATTTAATTGTGATGATATTTAGTATTTACATTGATTTTGTGCAGAATTGATCCTGCGAAGTTGAGGCCACTGCTGCTGCTGTATATTTGACAATGAATGTATAAATCCTGATCCATTATGATTTATGAGAGTTCCATTTGCCTTTGTGAAAAAAAATTTAGCTTGTCTGAGAGTCTATTCATATGCTACATCTTGCAGTGCTGATGAAACAGTGAACAACTGTCCCATGTGAAGAGCATGCGAGAAGCCTTTCGAGTATAAATTTAAACAATTCCAACAA